GTGCTGGCTCTTCCAAATTTCTCATGTGCCTTTATTCAGAACAACTAGTACATGCAGTCTCTTTCTTAGTGACCATGAATAACTCAACAAATAATTTACTTTCCTAATTCTAGCCATTTTCATTGTAGTTTGCCACCTTTTCAAAACGCAACACAAATGTTGGGGTTTTTTTTTCACAGGAATGGCATTTTTCACTTGACTTTTATATTGTTCTACTGTGAGCAGCTGTAACCAAGGGAAAAAAGAAGCCTCCACTCCCAAGCTACGGAAAGTAATGGACTTTAAGAAATAGCAAAGTGACTAATTCTTCTACAGTGAAAGCAAAGCTGGATCTTTCCTAAGGACAACAGCTACTTCCCAAAGCACTCTACCTGAGACTCTGAAAATGGCTCTGGCTGCTTCTTTTCTGCTTCTTCATATTAATAATGTTCTCACTATAGAGAAATGAAAAACCTGATCATCCAAATGGAAGTTCTCACTACCCAACAAAGTATCACGAGTTTTTCAGTGGCTGTTTAAGAATTTTGTACACAACAAAGAAGATTCACTGTACCTTTTCCTCAAAATACACAATAGTAGATTTTCTGGAAGGTGAAATGTACATAACATATACTGGAGCTACCTTGATACTGTTAAGGAAACAGTAGATCAACTGTTTCCTTGAAGAGGATCAACAGTGCAAACTCATCCCAGGCAACATCAATAGCCTAGTATAGGTAGTGAGTTACATAACCCTTCCCCTTCTTTAGGCAGAGGGGATTAAATTTCACATCCTTGGTCAGAATGCTGCTGATTTTTGAGACAATCTCCCTCAAAGAATGTAGCAGAAAGAAAATCATTATAACAAATCTATCCCCAGTCACAGTTACCCATTGAATCTGAACATCATGAAACTACACCTCCAGCTCAAGGTTGTTGCCTTCCTCAAAGGGTGGCCGATCGTGGAAACAGTGCAAACTTTTACATTTTAATATGCTGAAGTTTTACTATTCATCTACACTGGCCCCTAAAAGCTTGGTGACAGATCTCAATCTAAAATACAAGTTTCACACTCCTTTCCCATCTGATGCTGCAATGTTCTTTCAAACAGGCAGACTTGAAAAAAATCAACAATTTAAAAGTCTGCCATCTCACACCATCTTAATTCTTTTTTATTTTCCTGTTAAAAAGTATCAGGAATAAGAATCCAGAGCTGACTCAACAGCCATAAATCTCTGTTCTACTCATTAAAATATAGCATATTTGCAGGAATGTCATGATCAAGGAGTAAAATTTTTATGGACAAGATATCTGGACCAAATTTGAAAAAAGTCTTTTTTTACCAGTGATGGAGCCTACAAAAAAAACTGACTAGGTTCTAACTAGAGTTCAGGAAAACATGATTTTAAAGAATTTTCTACAATCAGATTCTGCCATAATCTAGTAAACAAACAAAAAAATTCTTATAACTGTGCATCAAATTAAGGGGTTTATATATCGAAGGAAAAAAATTCATGAAGAAAGTAGAAGAATGTTTTATATTTAGTTTTAAGGCAAACATATTGTCCTCATTAAACATTTGCCAGACTTCAAGTACAAAGCAACACAATACTGGCAAGCTACAACTCAGACTATGTTTCAGTCACATGGTTAATATCATGCATTGAGAATTTCTTGATGTTTATAGTTAGCATTAAAGTTCAGAGCAAAGACCTTTCTTAAGGAGGACAGACACATTGTTAGTTTCTTGCTGACATTGTTCAGAACTTCATTACAAGTGCTGCAGGACAAATTATGGCCTTTACTGAGGAAAAAACCCCACCACACTAAAATGCGTGATTACCATTAAACTTGCTCTTATATACTCCCTAAAAAGCAATTTCTCCAAAGTCAGTACATTCCATCACATACTTGTTCTTAGCATGACTGAAAACAGTAACATATGAGGGGTTCTGCATAAATATCTGGAAAACAAGGTGGTGTTTAGTTTCATATTCTTATGAGACAGACTTTCAAGAATGCTGCTTATAAAGTTATAAGAATGATCACTTAGAAGTCTTTAACAACATACCACAGAAGGCTCTGACAAATAACATGACAAAAAAAATTGTCTGGCTGAAAAGGAGTCTATACAACATATATTAACTCTTTTAATCCTCTTTTGTTTTGGTTGTGAAGCTTTTGTTTTTAATGAATATCAAAGACATTATCCGAAAGAAACTCTAGTGAGACAATCATCAGTAATACTTGTGTTATGAAAATACATATTATTCCAGCCAATGTCAGTAGCACACACTAGGACACATTCTAGAGAGGAAAGAACTAGTTAGACAAAGATTGTAGGGAAAAGTTTCTGCCAGACAGCTCTCTCACACACATACACTTTCCTTCATTTAAAATTTATGAAGATGAAGTGCTGCTTTTGTTTCCTGTCTCCAAGATGAGCCCTAATACTCTTGCCAAAAGCAAGCTAACACAGTGTAATTGTTTTTCATCTAAATTGCGTGTCCAACCTGCTTAGTTTTCAAAGAACATTGATGAGGCTACTTTGATACCCAACTGCCAGATGACAAAGTGCAGGGCACAGAGGCAGATGGGCATGATGAGAATTTTTAATCATTATGTCACCTTACAGAATGTGGAATAACAGGAGGGAAACATAAGAGAGAAGATACATTCTTTGTAAGAACCAGATGATAACTATTTTCATTAAGAATAACTTAGGAAAACAAATAATGAAAGAAGCAATTCAGAACAAAGATCCTCTGAGGCGTTTTTAATCTGTTATATTCCATACAGCTAAAAGGGCTTTTTGAAAGGTCACAAAATGAAAGAGAATGGACAGAAAGCACAAAGGAATCTTTATTTTTTTAACAAAGACATGAGTCGTTATTCTGCGAGAAAAGTAGTTTCAGAGTTTGATCTTCACAGAAGACACTTGTAAATTGCTGAAACTGTAAATTAGAATATAAAGTTATAATCCTTTAACTTTCTCAAGTTCACAGACATACCTGAAATGTCAGCATTGATCTCTCATTTTTCCTCTTAGACATCCTATTTCATGTCATCTGTTTTGAGAAAACAGACTCACATGGAAAAATATAAGGAAAGCAACGAACAGTCAAATTATCAAAATATATCCTCAATGATCATCAGCCAGTGCAGAAAAACAGGCAGCTTTTATGTTTGATCCTTACACTTCATTCTGCTATCTGGAGCCAGAACAAAAAAAATGATCCTGTTTATTATGCCTGTTCCATTAACATAATACCTTCCCAGGTTAAACTACTGTTCTCTAATCACATTTTCTAATCTTTACAGAGCAGGCATCAGGGAGTGTGTTGCTTTCCTTGTTGGGCACATAAAGCATGTGGTTTCAGCAGCTGCATCAATCCTGCTGGCCCTCTGTAACCTTATCTTTATCATACCTAGTCACTGATGGTTCAAGGAGAAGCAGGGCATCCTGTCATACCTTCTCCATGTGTGGGTGAACATTTGTGAAGAACAACTGCACTTGAAAAATAATGCAAGGAAAAGTCTGGCAGCATGAGATGATCACAATGTTGATCTAGACCTCACTGCGAATTAAGGAAGGAAAGCAGAGGTGAAGTTCTTTGGCCAAGGCTTTTTTTTTTTTCTTTTTTTTCATTTACTGGAGCTACTATCATTCTTCTGTTAAATGAGAGCACAAACATCAGTTTCATATTTAACACATATCCTGTTCTAATCTCAAAATCAGTCAAAAGACATTCACTGTCATGTTTCTTCCTTTTTCACACAAACTTTCCATCCACTTATGCACACATATATATTCCTAGTTTCAAAGAGACAGAGGTTGAGAAAATAAGACAACTGACATTTAATGAAAAATGTTCAAAGAGAAAGTGACTCCGGGCATACATACTCAAATCTACACTTACTATCATTTTACCATCTGAATATCAACCAGTTGTGATGTCTCTTTGTGACAGGCAGCACATTCATGGAATAGGAACAATCACACATACTTTCCCATGGAACACCAAGGCACATTGTATTTTAAGCGTTATTTTGTCCAAGTGCTTAACATTTGGCTGCCCAGATATTTTTTCATTCTCACTACGATGTAACTCTCCAGGTTGCTAGTACACCAACTGTGAACATGAAACCAAATGTTTAGAACATGTGCTTAATTTAACCATGTTTATGTCTTTAAATACTGGTCTTTTAGCTCTGACACAGGGATTAGGGAGTGTTACCAAGCAATGACTTGCTATTTAAAAATTATCAGCTATGTACTTTTACTTGTATAAAGTGTCTTTAACAAGGGCTTACAGAAAATCTTTGAAAAAAGCACAAAAGATGCCTTCATTGTTTAATCTTTTCTCTCTTTAAAGGAGAAAGAGTAGTATGATTAAAAAATCAGTATGAAGCACAAAATATTATTCTTCAGAGTAATTGGTGTGCGGAGAATGCATCCAGCTAGCGAAGTCCCACAGCCTATCAGCAGGAACATAGATTGCACATTTACTAAAACCTGTCTGACCTGTGTGAAGAAAGCAAAGAGAGGGGGGAAGCAAACCAGTGACATAGCCTGAACTTCGACTGAGTGCTATTGATCTTATTGACTGGGGCACTGAAGTGCTGCTGTACATTAAGTAGGGAAGAACAACAGAAAATTACATTAATTCAAATTGTTAAATCAATATTTAGCAGTATAGTTAGTGGCAGTTGACCTTCAATACACCTTTAATAAAACAATAGTGAACTAGAACAGCAAGAGTCATAGGCAAAACAGTAATCTGAATTAGTGTGGAAGATGTGTTTTAAACTCCTGTATAAATGTAGACATTTCTATATAAGTGTAGACATTCCTTGCAACTACTTCTTTTCTGGCAGCAAGAAAAAGGTTCTTGTCACCATGTCTTATCTTTTGCAGTTTTGTTAAATAGTCATTCAGAAAACCACAGACACAGACTTGGAAGAAATGGAAAATTTCTAATGTTTCACTGCCACATGTATTTTCTGATACGTTTGTGGAATTTGAGAAAAAGAATGAAAACAAAGAGTAACAATATTAATACAGGACTCTGCCACTGGTCAGTTTGTTTTAGCCACTGCCCATGTAGGGCATTGCTCTCTTAGATCAATGAGCTGCATCCTGATCTGAGCCTCAGGGATTGCCTCTGTTGGATGATTCTGGTGAGGAAAAAAAAATGTAACATTAATTTTTTCACCAAGTTAGCACTTTGAAAATACAGGGCAAAAAAAGCAAACAAAAAGCCAATTTTGGTCAAAAAGTCAAATTTGGTAGTTGAATCTCACTGTAACAGGGTCCCAGGATGTACCCAAGCTGCTGCTGACTTTTCAAGTGAGATTCCTAAGGCAATGCCTATGCAGCCAGGCTACTGGATCATAACATAGGACAGATGATTCCAAGAAATATGGGTTCATTAACAGATTAAGAGCAGTGGGTTAATAAATCAAATCCAGCAGAAACACCTTAATCCATTCAATTTTAAAATAATTACTAAATCAGCCTAGCAATGGTACCTTAGATCCCTAAGATCACTGGAAATCTAGGTTCAAATCATTTCTTTTTCATAAGCATCTTTCGTTGCTAGCAAAGTACATCAGCTGTCTTGACTTACACTCAATTCTGCCTATCTATCAGAATGTTAATAATACTAAAACAGATGCATGAGATTTCTTGTTGAGACCTGATGTTTCACAGCCATAAATACAATTTAGCCTATTCAAAGGGAGACTAAAAAACTGTGGGATTTTATCTTGTCAGTCTTAAAAACTTGCATTATTCTAGGATCTCTAAAAACGTAAATCTTTGGGGGTACCCAAAGGCTGAAGCCTAAAATCTTGAAACTCTTTATGTAATATTATTCACTACACTTATTTAGGACAGTAATCTTCACATTTTCCATTTTTTTTTTTTTTGACTGGGGAGAGATCTGGCCTTCTGAATCAGATATGAAAGACCATGCCCATCTGCCTTTTATCTGCCTGATGATAAAGTGCCCCAATGTGCATCTACAATCTTTTATAAGTGTTCTTCCTCCTTACCAGACAAAATATGTTCAATGCAATGCAATCAAAAGGTAATACACTTCAAAAAAAGCATGTAGAGTGATAATTCCTAAGCTGACTGTTTCTGGTCACAAAAGATTTTGTGATTAAACTAGATGGCTTTATGAAAATATCTGTCCAACACCCAGTCCCCTGGCAAGGGATGCTTTCCATGCTGGAAATTTACAAGAATTCAAACAAAAAGAAAAAAAAAGAAAAGAAAACAAACAAATGAAAAAAACAAACAAACAAAGAAACAAAAAAATCCCTATTATATCTATCCACCAAGAAGTATTAAAACAAGATATTTCTTTTAGTTCACATAATTCCAGAATTACAAGTCTTATTCTATGCTTGCCCTATAACTTCTACATAAACATTCACTACTATCTACCAACAGAAATACAACTTAGACTCCAAAATATCACCAGTATGGCCATCCTTTATTCCTTCTTTATCTGAAGTATGGAAAACATGGTATGTGTCCTATTTTATGCATTTCATATGGTATTTCCCCAGCACATATCAAGGTAGTAAGAGAACTAATAACATTTTTGTTTCCTTGCCTGGCATCAGTGACCAAATAGATGTTGCCCTAATCCTATATCTAAAGCTGATAAAATACCTTACCAAACTATAAGGAAATTCCACAAATTAGTAAGTGAACTCATTTAAATAAAATTCAGACCTCCAGAAATCCCATTCAATTGCCATCTAATTCTTTAATCCCTTGATAGAAACCTAGGTTCTCCAGCACCAACTTTGTAACAGTTTTCTATATTGAAAAATCTAGTTAAATTATTCAGACATAAAATAATCCTATCTTTCTACTTAACACTGCAGATTTACAGTTTTAAGAAAAATAAAAAAAAAAAGAGGGTTTGGGTTTTTTTTAAATGATGACCATCTGAAGTAATGGAGCAAATCTGCTGATGTTAAAAACCACAAGCTAGTTTTTAATTTAGCATTTTCATGTCAAGGTAACATTGTCCAGCTGGTTTATCTAGAAAAACAGTAGGCAAAACTGACCAAAGTCATCTTTGAGAAAAAAAGAATAATTACTTCCAATCACTTCTTGGGGAAGTCAAAAATGATATGTTTTATGAGATATGAGATCACTGCAGCTTATACCGGGATATCGGTAAGTTTTTGATAACTAGAATTACTCAACTGCAGCAAGAGTCAGCATTTACTGCATCAAATTTGCTGTACTAATACTCTCTTAAATGTCACCCCCCCCGCCAAACCAAACAGGAATGACTGCTATGAAGACAACAGAGTTGTCTACGGCTGCTACAATCTACAATGCACTCTCTAAGAATATTAACTGTGTATTAATGCAAGAACTTTACCTTCCTTCTGACAGTATTTCCATTAAGTTTAGTAGCAGCAGCTAGCATGAAACAGAGCAAAACTTTATCTAGCTATGTTCCTTGGAACAGAAAAGCATGTTTTCCTAACATGGATAACTTACCTCACAGTATTTCTAATATGATTTTAGAAATTATTGGTTAACTAAACATTAGATTTGTAAAACCTGGCTCACAAATTAATGAGGATTTTTTTTTTTTTTTTATACTGGCATAGCTGCTAAATTTTTGAAAGTATCCACTGTGGCTTAATTATTTTAATTCTAAATGTTCCCTAAGTATTTCTTATTCATTATTTTTATCTGCCTGGTTTGGGAAAGTTTTACATCTCCTTTGAAGTTTAAGTCAGAAATTTAGCAAGTGATGGAAGCATCATGTTTTCATAATGCTTGGGTCCAGGAGGCTCTTGATAGACAGAGTAACTGTGAATTAATGTATAATAAGCTCCTCTGAAGTGAATATTTAATTACTGCACTGCCTTAATGCAGTTCACTGATGCCATGAATGTCATTGAGGATATATTTCCTAACAGCTTGCTTTTCCTTTAATGTACCTTTCTGTTAAAAACAGATGACATTTTGTCATTACTAAAGCTGAAGTGGTGCACGCATATCTCTACTGAGTACACTTAAGTTATTATTTACTGTAAAACACGCAGGAGATTTAGACTTAGTCTATTTATTACTTTGGTGAATTTGTTCAAGCGTTACTTCTGTTAACTAAATTCTGGAAAAAATATTTACTTTCCTTTTATTTCATCAATTAATGAAATTCATTGCCAAAATAATGACTTCTAGTCACAGCATATGTTTAAAGAACATTAGGAACATAGGTTACTTTTTGCCAAAAGTACACTGACCATTTTTCATTCTGTCATTCAAGGCACACTCCTATTTACAATTGCCAAAAATTTTAAATCAACCTGATGCGTTCCCCAAAATGTCCCACACAACAGATTCTGACTTTCATTTAACATCAGTTGAACAGTTCCTTTACTGATCTCACAGAAAGGAATCAGCTTAAGAAAATGTTTTTTAAAATTCCTTAGTAGTAGTTATAATTACTACTTCCTGTTAATTTTATACCTAGTCACTCAGCAGCATATCATGCTCAGTATATTCACAAGAGACCTGCATTTGTCTTTCATGTCTATTATTTTCCAATACAAATGCTTTATACATTGAAATGAAGTTATATAAATCATAGTGACTTCTTTTCAACTAAAGGTAATAGCAGACAAAAACCACATGATAGCTGGAAGTGTAATGCAGTGTTCTTGTTTGACAGCTTCTCTTTTGGACAATGGAAACCTCAGCTGGTTTGACAAGAGCATGCTGCACTTGGAAGTCAAGTGTTATTTGCAGGAGAATGAGCTGTCATTGAAATGCTGCACTGGATCTTTGATTTGCATAAAACGATGTTATATTTAGTCTCTGCTCATGTATTTATGCTAAATCAGCATTGCTTCATTGGCACACAGAGGTTATCTTTCTGCCTATACTTCTTATAAGATCTTCCTAAGACTTCTTACTATTAGAAGGTATTATACTTCAGTTTAAAAATATGCATGAATTGTACCTGTAATACTCATGGGTACTCAGATGTCTCCTAATATCCTGTCTTTCTGTTGAATTTGTTCTTCAACCTGCAATAAATGTCTGCAACCAATATTCACTTTCTAAAGGACTCCTCTAGAAGTTGTAGTGACTCCCAAGGTGCACAGTATCTTGGTAAATGTATGAAATTATCAAAATTATAGAATTATAGAATAATAGAATGTTAAGGGTTGGAAGGGACCTCAAAGATCATCTAGTTCCAACCTCCCATGTTGTTGGCAGGGACACCTCCCACTAGACCAGTTGCTCAAGGCCTTATCCTGCCCTTGAACGCTGCCAGGGATGGGGCATCCACTACCTCCCTGGGAAACGTGTTCCAGTGTCTCACCACTTTCACAGTAAAATTTCCCCTCTTCCAGTTTGTACCTATTACTCCTTGTCCTATCACTACAGTTCCTGATGAAGAGTCCCTCTCCGGCTTCCCTGTAGGCCCCCTCAGATACTGGAAGGTTGCTCTGTGGTCTCCGCCCAACCTTCTCTTCTCCAGGCTGAACAGCTCCAACTTTCTCAGACTTTCTTCACACGGGACGTGCTCCAGACTTCTTACCAACTTCATGGCCCTCCTCTGGACTTGCCCAAACAGTTCCATGTCCTTCTTATGTTGAGGACACCAGAACTGTACACAGTACTCCATGTGGGGTCTTCACCAGAGCAAAGTAGAGAGGGAGAATCACCTCCTTTGACCTGCTGGCCACATTCCTTTTGATGCAGCCCAGGATTCTCTTGGCTTTTTGGGCTGCAAGTGCACACTGCTGGCTCACGTTGAGCTTTTCATCAACCATCACCTCCAAGTTTTTCTCTGCAGGGCTGCTCTCAATCACTTCTCTGCCCAACCTGTAGGTATGTCAGGATTGTCCCAACTCAGGTGTAGGACCTTGCACTTCACTTTGTTGAACCTCATGAGTTTTGCATCGGGCCTGTCCAGGTCCCTCTGGATGGCATTCCTTCCCTCCAGTGTGTCAACTGCACCACACAACTTGGTGGTGTCAGTGAACTTCCTGAGGGTGCACTTGATCCCACTGTCCATGCCAGCAACAATGTTGAACAGTACCAGCCCCAGTACCGACGCCTGAGGGATATCACTCATCATTGGTGTCCACCACCATGTGGACAATAAGCTGTTGACCACAAGTTTTTGCATGTGGCCACCCAGCCAGTTCTTTATCCACCGAGTGGTCCATCCATCAAATCCGCATCTCTCCAATATAGAGACAAGGATATCTTCCAGGACAGTGTCAAACACTTTGCACAATAACTTGTCAAACTATGTCAAACACTTTAAATATCCAGGTAGACAACGTCAATTGCTCTGCCCCTATTCACCCCATCATAGGAGGTCACCAAATTTGTCAGGCATGATGTCAGGCATGATTTCCCCTTTGTAAAGTCATGTTGGCTGTTACCAATAAACTCTTTATTTTCCATATGCCTGAGCATAGTTTTCAGGAGAATCTGCTCCACGATCTTGCCCAGCACAGAGATGAGACTGACAGGTCTGTAGTTCCCCAGGTCTTCTGTTTTCCACGTTTTAAAAATAGGGTTATATTTTCCTTTTTCTAGTCATAAGTGACTTCATCTGACTACCACAATTTTTCAAGAAAGATAGATAATATCTTTGCAACTTCATCTGCCACCTCCCTCAAGATCCATGGAGGAATGTCACCAACATTACCAACATAGACTTGAGAGATGGGCTGATTCCAATGGGATGAAGTTCAATAAAGCCAAGTGCAGGGTCCTACACTTTGGCCACAACAACCCCCTGCAGCGCTACAGGCTGGGCACAGAGTGGCTGGAAAGCAGCCAGGCAGAAAGGGACCTGGGGGTACTAATTGACAGGAAGCTCAACATGAGCCAACAGTGTGCCCAGGTGGCCAAGAAGGCCAATGGGATCTTGTCCTGTATCAAAAATAGCGTGGCCAGCAGGAGCAGGGAAGTGATCCTTCCCCTGTACTCTGCGTTGGTGAGGCCACACCTTGAGTATTGTGTTCAGTTCTGGGCCCCTCAGTTCAGGAAGGATATTGAGGTGCTGGAGCGGGTCCAGAGAAGAGCAACAAGGCTGGTGAAGGGACTGGAGCATAAGTCCTATGGGGAGAGGCTGAGGGAGCTGGGGTTGTTTAGCCTGGAGAAGAGGCTCAGAGGTGACCTCATCGCCGTCTATAACTACCTGAAGGGAAGTTCTAGCCAGGTGGGGGTTGGTCTCTTCTCTCGGGCACTCAGCAATAGGACAAGGGGGCACGGGCTTAAGCTCCGCCAGGGGAAATTTAAGTTGGATATCAGGAGAAAATTCTTTACAGAGAGAGTAATCAGGCATTGGAATGGGCTGCCCAGAGAGGTGGTGGATTCACCATCCCTGGAGATTTTTAAACGCAGATTGGACGTGGCACTGAGTGCCATGATCTAGTAAATGGACTGGATTTGGACCAAGGGTTGGACTCTATGATCTCGGAGGTCTTTTCCAACCCAATCGATTCTATGATTCTATGATTCTAACTCCTATGGACTTGTGCACATTCATGTTCCTCAGATGGTCTCAAACCTGATTCTATCCTACAGTAGGCTTGGGGTCTTCATTCTCCCAGTCCCTGTCTTTGCCTGTCCTGGCTTGGGTGGCATAGCTGGAGCACTTGCCATTGAAGACTAAGGCATAGAAGTTGTTGATAATCTCAGCCGTCTCTTTGTCCAGGGTAGCCAGGTCTCCCATTTCCTTCCAGAGAGGGCCCACAGTATCCCTAGTCTTTCTTTTGCTTTCAACTTATTTATAGAAGCCCTTCCTATCATCCTTGATACCTATCATCCTTGATATCACTAGCCAGACTCAATTCTAACTGGGCCTTGGTTTCCCTAACCTTGTCCCCAGCTTCCTGTACAATTTCCCTGTATTCCTCCCAGGCCACCTGTTCTCATTTTCACTTCCTAAACCCTTCTTTTTTTTTTGCTCTGAATTTGCTCATCAGCTCATCTATCCATGGAGGCCTCCTGGCATTTTTACCTGATTTCCTCCTTTTTGGGATGCATCACTGCAGAGCTTGGAGGAGATGAACCTTGAAATTCAGCCAGCATTCTTGGGCCCCTTTGCCCTCCAGGGCTCTATCCAATGGGACTCTACCCAAGTAGGTTCTTGAGGAGGCCAAAGGTTGCTCTCTTGAAGTCTAGGGCAGCAAGCTTGCTGTGTGCCCTCCTCACTACCCTGAAGATCAGAAACTCCACCATCTCATGGTTCCTGCAGCTAAGGCTGCCTTGGAGCACTACATTTCCCACCAGCTCCTCCCTGTTGGTGTGCACAAGGTCCAGCATGGCACCTCTACTTGTTGACTCCTCAATCACTTGTGTAAGGAAGTTGTTATTGACACATTTGAGGAACCTCCAGGACTGCTTATGCCTTGCTGTGTTGTCCCTCCAACAGATATCGGGGTGGTTGAAATCCCCCATGAAGACCAGGGTTTGTGAGCATGAGGCTGCTCCTATCTGCCTGTAGAGTGCTTCATCCACATCATCCTCCTGATCAGGTAGCCTGTAGCAGACTCCGACTATAACATCCCCTGTCCCTGCCCTCCCCTTAATTTTCACCTACATGCTCTTGGCTGGCTTCTCCATCTTTCCCCAGGCAGAGTTCCATACACTCCAGCAAGTCATTGACATATAGGGCTACACTCCCTCCTTTTCTCACTAGCCTGTCTTTCCTAAAAAGCCTCAAACCTTCCATTCCAATGCACCAGTCACAGGAGCCCTCCCATCATGTCTCTGTGAGGCCAGTGATGTCATATCCTGCGTGCACATCTCTAGTCCCTCTTGTTTGTTCCCCATACTATGTGCGTTTGTGTAGAGGCATCTGAGCCAGGCCATGGATAAAGCCACCTCACTGGCTGGAGTACCTGGAATGTCATTGCCCTATATATCACAGGTGCTGGCATCCAGCTTGCAAGATTGGGATGGATAGGTGCCCCCTCCCAACAAATTTAGTTTAAAGCCTGCTTCACTAATCTGGCAAGTCACCAACCAAAGGTAATTTTTCCCTTTTTTGACAGATGGAGCCTATCAGCCCCCAGTAAAACAGGCTTGGAAAAGCATGTCCCTGAGTAACCAAAACCCTTACTATTGCACCATTGCTCTAATCACTTATTTACCTGCCAGATTCATCTGCCCATTTTGAGCCTCTCTCCTTTTTGGAGAGGGTTATTAAATTATTGGGGGGGGGGGTTCTTTTTTTTAAAGGATGCAATACTTGATCTTACAGATGGATTTTTAATATATTGTCACATTAGACAGTAATATCATTTTGTTCAGGTCATAACAAAAGGTATTCACCGGGTTTGTTCACTAGTGTGTTAGTATGGTATCTGTTAGTGTGACAAAAATTGCATCCCATGCAAAGCTATTGCTGTTGGTGATTAAGACAACTCCTTTAGGGACAAATGCAAATATTCATGGTAGACTGTGACATCAATGCAAGAAGACCAAACCACAAATACATGAAGAGGGCATAACATCATACCCTTCTATGGTATCCAGGAAGTTTGTCGTAGGCAAAAAGGAATTAATTAGGAGAATGTCCTCAATTTACAACATACAGGGAGATCCTGGTTTCTTATCTACTTGATAAATAGAGAAATAATAAGGATGGAAATCTCTTACTGGAGAACTTTGAATTCAAGCTACAAAATCAGTTCTAAGAAATTTACATTGAGTGGTTAGGGAAGGGAGAGTAAACAAGGTGTGAGCATGCCATCCAGTATAGTCTCAGAAAGGAATCATCATTTCACCCTTATTTAGCCCTATAAAGTCACATTCTTCACTCTGAGATGTTGCCTCTGCATTATAAAGGTCAAATGAACAAGATTAGTATAAACAGCTACATGCACAGGAATATATAGACTATAATTAAAAGGTGCACGGTAAGAGAGGTCTTCAGTTTTCCTCTCCTTGATGATAACTAAAATTGGGCTCCTGTTTTGGCAGTGAAATAACTAAGGCAAGGAGCACAGGTCTATGGGGAGCTGGGAAACAGAGAATGTATGGAAAAGAATTTTACCCAACCACACATAATTTACATTTCTCACCTTCCATGGTCCTAGATGACAGCATTTATTATCCTTTTTTAAAGCATATTTTGACTAAAATGACCTTTTCAAGTTTTGCAAGTATGGATAACATTTTCCTAATTAATAAGAACACACTGAACTCACTGAATGCTGAAAATAAAAATAATACAATCTCTCACTACAAGAAACATGACCCATTCTCTGCTACAAATATGTTATAAGAGGATTTAACATATATAAGCATCTGAAGGCTCTTCCCAGTGGTGCCAAGCAATAGGACAAGAGGGAACAGCAAGAAACTGATGCACAGGAAGTTCCACCTAAATATGAGGAAAAATTCTTTACCATGAGGGTGACTGAGCAGTGGAACAGATTGCCCAGAGACGTTGTGGAGTCTCCTTCCCTGGAGACATTTAAAAGCCATCTGAACACAATCCTGAGCACTGTGCTCCAAGGAGCCTTGTTTGAACACGGATGTTGGACTAGGTGCCCTTCAGTAGTCCCTTCCAGCCTTAAACCTTCTCTAACTCCATGATAAGTCGGGAGTAATTCTTCCATAATCAACAGATCCACACCAAAATAAAGCTCCCATGGCTCAGCCTCAGAACCTTCACAGCTGTGCTGGCTTCTAACCAACGAGACTGTTTAGGAGCAGATGCAGGCTGGGGGTTGCTGGGAGGTCCTATCAGGCCCAGGTCAGATTATGACAGTAGAGTGCCTCTGGAGGTCTCACAGCTCTGGCAGTCCCAACGTAGAATCAGAAGGAGCTACAATCCACAGAGCAGGGAGAAAGTTGAAAAGAGGACAGAAGCTCATGAAGTAAAATTCTTATGCTCTTAAGTGATGGTTAAGGAAAGTTTCTATTCATATTATAGATAATCTTGTTCTTAAATGGAGTTTAAAAACAGTGAGGATGTCCTGCTTCGGAAGGACTTGGTCCTGTTGGTAGCAATTGGTTCAAACAAAAATACACACATCTCTACGTGAGTACTGCAGATGAATGTTTCCCATTGTTGACGAGCTACAGAAAGTAGAACTTTTGCCATATGACACTAAATTATGAGAAACTTATTCATGTTCTCTTATGATAATAGATTCATATTCCTTATTTTAAGAAAGAGGTGCCCAAGCTTGCAGACTTAGATCTTCAGAGCAGTTAGACACCTGCTCTGTGAGCACATATGAAAGCATCATCTGTATTTGAAGCATAAAATTCTTGAGTTGCACACTTTGAACTTGGGCCAGAATTTCAGAGTTCAGTATCCAGCAGCTCCTAGCATTTTATATTGTCCTACTGGGTGCAAAGTCCTTCTGAAAAATTTGACAACTATGGTACCCTTGTGAAGTATAGTATATAAGTCACCCAAAGGAAAACCAATTTCCACTTCAATGGTCAATGTATTTATTAAATAAGAACTATTGCTCTTTCTAACTACAACTGTCTATGTCCCATATTTTGGTTTTGGTTATAATAATAATGCATCTGAGAAAGTGTATTTTTTACCACATACTTTTTTTGATTTCTCTAGTAGTAAAAACAGTTTTATTGAAACTTTCTTTTCTCAAAGTTTTCACAGACACCCAGGAAGTTTGAGTCCATATTTTTTGCTACAAAGTGCCTGAAGATAGAAGTGCTAAGTGGAAGTGACAATGCAATCTTATCTACCTACCATATCATAATACTGATTTCCCTTGCAGTAACAAGATTTAAGTGCAAACATGCTTAAAATAGTTTTGATTTCAGTCTAGATCCAGAACCACCTGGCTGAGAAAATGATGGAGAAAACTATACATGTCAAATAAGTAAAACCTACATTTGACCAGTATGTTTGTTGTATTATCCATCAAAGTTAGCACCAAAACATGCCACAACCAACCAATCATCATTAGGATAGCCTCAAATGGGACCAATTAATGTGTTACCTTACCCAAGTGGTAATTTTTTATTAGCAAATGGTGCATTTATATAGAATTCATGATGGTTTACATCAGGATTTTAATAAGATTGCTCATTAGTGAGAAAGAACATTCTACCCCATACTGGGTAAAACCAACAGCCTAGGATTAAGCCAAGATGACACTGATATATTCTCAAAGAGAATGGAGAGAACATAAAAAAATCCTTGCCTTCATTCCCAATATGTGTGGGTTTTTTTGAAGTTGTAGGTTATGTGTGTGCCCAAGGGCCAATACTTTAAGTACATGAAGCAGGAAAGCATCCATAACTCTCTAGATACAGGGACTGAGAAATGAGCATTCTTTAGAAACTCAAGCTCTGACAAGCAAGCAAGAAGGGGAGTCACAAGTAAGTGGAATCACTTGAGTCTTTAAACACACAGTGAGGATGCAAGGGTCTGTAGGTTTTATGAATGACAAGTTTTTCTTTACTCTTAGTTTAACCTGAGACCATCTTGACCACAATTGCATTAAACTAGCAAAATAACATGGCATTCTATCCAGCCAGCCATGGCAGTACTTTAGAGAAAGAAAGGATCAATACCTGAAGTGCCTTCCACAGCTCTGCTGAGTAATTCTGAAGGTAAATACCTACTTCTCTGCCAGAACAGCCTTGGGATTTGTTATCATGGTCTGTATGGCCCGAGTGACTAATCAATATCAATCCCATGCAAGAAAAGACATCAGTTTTATGTATTTTGCATTCCTCTTTCATAACAAAGCAGAGACCAATTCTGCAAAAAGTGGGCTTCAATACCATAGTGGCATTTTATGCAAGTGCATAAAACATAATTTTGATCAACGCTTTCTACAATTTGTCCAGGTTTTTCATCTAGCAAGCAAGAGGGTGGCAGTGAGGAGGAAGAGACAAAAATGAGCAGTATGGGATGAAATCCTGCAAATATGAGAGGGTGTTTTTTTTTTAGCTGAAGCAGTAATTGGATTGCTCTTACCAAAGTCAATCACAACTTGTTTTCTGATGTGCAGGAAATTGAAGTGTGTTCTTAAAAATGATGGAATAAGAACCTAGATTGTTTTATTCTCTCTTATCCTCCCAGGAAAGAAAAAAAAAGAGTTCTAAATGCTCTAGTGTCATATTTACCATGAGAAAAACAGCTAGTATTCCCTCAGACACCAATACTTAGAAGATTTACTGGTGCAAAGTACAGAGATTTAAGTACCAAGAGGTCTGATCTCACACACCTGGAGTAGGTTCCAAAAAGAGGAATTTTAACTATATCCAAATTTGCAGCCATCAAAGCACTGTTGGCTACTGCAGTCTTGGCAGCATCAACCTACATAATTGGTTGCCTTCGTCTGTAGAGTCTGGACACCTGGGATCCGGAAGTCAAGTATCACTCTGCATGAAAACAAGGTCCCTGTAATACAAAGTTCCTGAGCAGTCTACCAAGTCCAATCAGGAGGCAAGTATCAGAAAGGTCTTTGTTAAAAAAAAAAAAATTATGCACTGAAACAGGTACTTCCAGAAGAAAAACAAACAAACAAAACAAAACAAAAAATTTTATTTCTACCAAACAGAATTTTTTCAGAAACTCATGATACTTCCAGAGCATGTGAGACACATTACTCTGAACTCAGTCAACTCTGACTGAGTTCAAGTGTGATTTCTTTTACGTACAGTTGAGTTC